AAAAAAAGCAAAATTTTACAAATTTTTAAAGAATTTTTGTATTTTGAGGTATTCCTGGATTGGTTGCGCCGCCGTCCGGATGTTGCTCTGCATGTGGACGATTGTATCATTGCCATCAAAGAAGTGCCCACTGGTGATCCGAAGCGTTTTCGACTTGGCTGTCTCGGTATTGCTGCTGTTCACTTCTTTGATGTTGAATGCTGATGCTGTCCAGTTTTTCGGATCGGACACGGTTTTAATGTAAACGTCTTTTTTCCCCAAATTTTTTAACGATTATCGACGTATTTATCTTTTTTTGTGGGGGGGGGGGCATTTTTATGCGTTTTGCGCTGTATAGCGGTTTATGTGTGTGTGCGTGTGTGTGTGAGTTTCTGTGTGTATATGTATGTGTGTGTGTGTGTGTAGTGTACATATGTATGTATTTGTAGGTATGTATATATGTATGTATTTGTGTGCGTGTGTCTGTGCGTATGTATGCATGTGTGTCCGAGTGAATTTTGTCACGCAGTTTCATCTTGAGAACCAGAAGAGCTAGGAGACTGAAATTTTAGTAGAGTGTTTCTTGCCTACGTACGACCGCTCAAATTGAAACTCAGCTTTCCCGTGTGCTCGGGTATCACGTACGGCTGCGTGAAAGTTTTGGCGGAAAAATTATCTTGGGAGTCAGAAGTGCTGCGAGGCTGAAAATTTAAGTAGGACTTTTTTGCCTAAGCAGGATCCCTACAAACTCAAATTTAGCCCTCAGGTATGCCGAAGTTTCACGTGCGACACGTGAAAATTTTGACGCTAAATTCATAAGCCAGAAAATCAGGAAGTTGAAATTTTGGAAGGGTGTTCACCGTTTTAGCTCCCCATTAAAAAATTGCACGTATCGACACGTTTTACATGCCGATACATCGAATTTTGAATAGGAATTTTTACAGCTCGGGAACCAAGCTTTCGACTATTTTTGCACAGACCAAAGTGTAAAACAATGAAAATTCTTAACAGGCAAACGTCCGCTGGAAGGAACTGCGCAAAACGCATAAACTCATTTTTTTAAGTTCACTTCGGCTGAGTTCTGCTAATTTTAGAAGCAAAAGCTCTCAATTTTTAAAATTCTCGAGATACTGAGAGGAATGTTTCACTGGTTTATTTCTGCTTTGTTTATCTTTTTCTTTACATAATTGAGCCTGTACACATAATCCTGTAAGGCTTGCTTCCTTCCGTGAATATCCTTATATCTTTTCTGTATTCTACATCAAAAAACGATCGTAGGGCCCTGTTTTTATTTTTGTTACTCTCAATAAAACTACTTCTCCCCAGTTCCACTCTAGTCATCTCAACACATCTGCATTCCGTTATTTGTGAAATACCTTCTGTTTCTGTGCATTGATCTCTAATCCAACCTCACTTTCATGACTCCTAAGAGGCACTTGTTATTGTGCAAAAGGCCATGATCCCGTGTAAAATTTAGCTCCAATCGAACCACATATTTTTTTGCAGCATTATTCCTCATCGTTTTCGCCCGAATTTCAAATTCAGGCATATTTTGAGTAGAATTTTTTTGTGAATGAGATTGGACCTCTTGAAGATTCGCAGAAACCATAGGCGGGTCAGGGGGCGGTTTCTTATGGAGGGGAGGGGGGAGGGACAGTTTTTCACTTCACTCTTCTCCCTTCCTCACTGACCCCCTCCCCTCAATCAACTCCCAGCCTACCCTTGAATCGTCGCGTTGCCTCCCCCTCCCCCTTTCTCCCTTCCCGCTCTTGCCAATGGACACTAAAATGAGACTACTGGCAAAAATTCTG